GGGAGACTCCGCCCCCGAGCCGCCGGCAGTCTGCGCGGGTAGACCCGCCGACGTGCCAGAGCCGACTGAGAAACGCCCGCCGAAAAAGCGCCCGCCGAAGAAGGCCAGAGAGAGGCAGAAGAGGGGGCAGCTGTGCGGAGCAGAAGCAGCAGGAGGAGCAGCAGGAGGATGCAGGTGCTGCGAGCAGGAGGAGCACGAGGAGGAGGAACAGGAGGAGGAATGCAACATCCCAGGCGCACCAGTCAAGGAGGAAGGATTGGAGGTGTTGGGTCTTTACTCACCGAAGTATGACCAGGAGTATGAGGTGATAGAAGCAGCCGTGGACAGCGGCGCCGGAGTCACCATCATGCCAGAGGAGATGTGCAGCGACCACCCTATCGACCCCGACGGGAGCGGCATCGAGTACAACGCAGCAGGGGGCCAGACGGTCACCGACAAGGGCCAGAGAAAGTTGCAGGTCGTGACAGAGACGTGGCAGCAACGGTCCATGAAGAGCCGCGTCGGGCCGGTCCGCCGCATGCTGCTTGCTGCCAGTGATCTCGTGGACCACGGAACCGGGTTGTTCTCCAGAAGAACGGTAGTTACGTGGAGCACATCGGCACGAAGCAGAGGACACCTCTCAATCGCGCCAACGGGATATTCCTCATGAAGTTGTGGGAAAAGAAGAACAGCGCGCCTAAACAGCAAGGCGCCGAGGCCGCAACGAACCCGATGGAGATAGACCAGATGATCGCAGCGCTCCAGAAGCTAATCAGCACCGGGGGCACGGAGGTGCCCACGGGGAGCGTGGTCGAGTCGAAGGTCGCTGAATCCATGGGTTTCTTCCGGCAGGTCCAGCCGTAAGACCGTCGGAGGCCAAAGTTTCACCACCAAGAGGGCAGCTAGCCCCTAATACCACTTGTTCTCACACTGTTTCACATGTTTCTCCGACTGAAGTAATGCCATTGGGTGCGGGTAGCACCGCCCATGGCTCGGGCCCTGTGGCCCATGCAAACGGCAGTGGCCCCAACCAAGGGCCAGCGGCGAGAGGTGCGGGAGGCTCCGCCCTCGAGGAGAGCGCCGGCAGCGGCGCCCAAGACAGCAGGGACGACCCCATGGGTCCACCCAGGGATCCGCCTGCACAGGCCCCTCCGGGAGCAGAGGTCCCGGTGGAGGAGGAGTTCAGTTGTAAAATCTGCACTCCAATGAGGTCGCCTTGCGACCCGACACCGAAAGAGGTGGAGGAGCACGAAGCGTCGCAACACTTGCCGTTTCGGTCTTGGTGCCCAGACTGCGTGAAGGGGCGCGGGGCAGCGACGGCCCACGCAGACCTCGCAGCAGAACTAGAGCACGAGACGCCGACGATCTCCACTGACTACTTCTTCTTGGGTGGTTCTGACCAGCAGGCACTCGCATGCCTGGCGAAAGTGGACCACAAGACCCGCCTAAAGACTGCGCGGGTGGTTCCCCAGAAAGGGTCCCATGAGGCTGTAATCAAGCAGGAAGCCCGTGATATCAAGAACTGGGGAAGGACGAAGTTCATATATAAGTCAGACCAAGAGAGCCCAATAACCGCAATGAAGGACGGTGTGATCGCCCAGCTGGGGACGGACTTCGAGGTCATCCCAGAACCTTCTAAGGTTGGAGAGTCACCGAGCAATGGCACGATCGAAAGAGCCATACAAGCCATCTCTGGGATGGTCAGAACCCTGAAGGTGGCGACAGAGAGAGCGTTCAAGATCACTCTTGATCCCCGGTCGAACATTCTGCACTGGCTGGTGCAGTTCGCTGGTTTCTCGTTGTCCAGGTACGAGCAGGGCGCCGACGGCAGGACGCCGTACGAGCGTGCAAAGGGCAAGCGTTTCAAGCTTGGCCTCCCAACCTTCGGGGAGAAGGTCTTCTATAGGAGACTTCGGAGCGACAGCGGCCGTCTGAACAAGCTTGACCCCAAGTGGTTGGAAGGAGTGTTCCTGGGGTGTAGAGATGATGTCCCGGAGTTCTTCATCGGTACGAAGGACGGCGTGGGCAGGTCGGCAGACATTCGTAGGCTGCCGCCGAGCAGCCGTTACGATGCGGAGGCGCTCTTAGCCGTCAAGGGAACGCCGTTGGACCCTGTCCCAGGAGACACAGCAGCGACGCTGCCAGCGTCGTCAGGGCTCGTGGTCATCGATGTCCCAGAGCCATCAATGGTGCCACCAGATCCTCCGAGACATGAACCAGAGGTCTTGTCGAAAAAGCGCGTGTACATCACGAAACAAGATCTCAAGAGGCATGGCTGGACACGAGGGTGTCCGCGCTGCGAGGCGGACATGAGTGGTCAGAAGACGACCCTGCACCACACGGAGGGATGCAGGAGGCGCCTGGAGGAAGCAATCGGGAGAACTGACCAGGGCAAGAAACGCCTCCGAGAGGCCGACGAACGGATCACCGAAGCCTTGGCCGACCATGTCCGGAGACAGGTGGAGGCCCAGCAGCCCGAGCAGGGCGCGGGAAGCTCCGCACCTGCGAGCAAAGCACCACGGGCTGGCAGAGTCGCGGGAAGAACCGCACCTGCCGCGGCAGCAGGGCCGGTAGCAGGGAGCGCGGGTAGTTCCGCCCCCGCTTCCGGGGCCCAGCCGGCAGACGCCGACATGCCGCAACCAAGCTTACCTATGGCAGTAGACGCGGGTAGCACCGCCCCTGCCAGTGTCCTGGGCGGCGACGCCATGCCCATGGAGGACACGAGGCCAAAACGGAAGGCCGAGACAAGTGCTGAGGTGGACTTCCTCAGCACGGCCCTGCGGGAGTTGGGCGCCCTGGAGGCGCCTGACTGCACAGCCAGACAGACCACCTCGGAGTGGTTAGGGTGCACGGGGGGCCGCGTGTTTGACATCAGGAGAGTGGACCCTGATGACGGCAGTTCCTGGGACTGCAGCCTTCCAGCGAAGCAGCGGAAGGTACTCTGGATGATCGAAGACGGCAATCCAGATCTTGTTGTGGGTTCACCAATGTATCATTCCTCAAACCCTCTTCATCATCTTCGTGAATGTTTTTCAATTTATAGGAGGAGGATGGAGGAGGGGAGATACTTCTTACACGTGCAACCTGATTGTGACACTTCGGCCTGGACGCTGGCTGGCGCAAAGGAGATTCTCAGGCAGGACCGGGTGTACCTCGGGAGAGCGAAGGGTGTATGTTGGTTGTCCAACGGAAAAGAGCTAGCAGGCCGCATGGCATCCCTTCTTCCAGGACAGCCGGCCGACACAGCTGTCGTCCAGGGCCTCGAGGCACAGCTCAGAGCAGACGGGAGGATCAAACCTCTTTTCGCTTGTCCCCTGGAGCCGGAGGAGGACTTGCACGAATACCCTTCCATGGGTGATTGGTGTGATCATTCGACGGAACAGTATGTAGACGACGTATCAGGTTGTGTGCTTGATCCCACGTTCGTGAAAGGGGCCCGCGAGGCCGAGTTGAGAGAAGTTGATGACTTCAAGGTGTACAAGTGGGCTCCTGTGGAAGAGGCCGTGCAAGTAACAGGAAAGAAACCGATTGGCGTCCGTTGGTCTGACACCAACAAAGGAAACCATAACAACCCCAACTACCGGAGCCGCCTCTGCGCCAAGGAGCTCAAGGTCAAAGATCCCGGAAAAGAGGGGACTTTCGCAGCGACACCGCCGCTCGAGGCGTTGCGCTTCCTATGCTCCTTGATGATGACCGCGCCTGGAGGGGAGGACGCGGAGGCGCAGCAGCGCGGAGACACGTTGTTGTTGTTCATGGACGCTACACGTGCCCATTTCCACAGGCCCACGGATGAGCTGATCTACGTGGAGGCGCCGCCAGAGCGACACCGCCCAGGGTGGTGTTGGCGCCTCTTGAAAAGCATGTACGGGACCCGCCGGGCAGGACACAACTAGGAGCGGTTCTACACGAGCGTGCTGGTCGAGCGTCTTGGTTTTACCCAGGGCTTGAGCAGCCCATGCTTGTTCCTACACGGTAAACGCCGTGTGAGGGCTTGGGTGCATGGAGACGATTTCGTGTTTCTTGGATCACGCGTGGATGTCCTCAAGGTGGAAGAGCAGATACGGCAGCACATCAAGATGAAGAAAACTGGCTTGCTGGGTCCGGGGCCCCACGACGACAAGGAAGTCCGATGCTTGAATCGAATCATTCGGCTCGACACTGCAAGGGATTGTCTTGAGTGGGAGTGCGATCCAAGGCACGCACAGATCACAGTCGAGCAGATGGGTCTCCGGAAGGACTCCAAAGGAGTGGTGACTCCTGGTGTTTCTACCGCAGTGCCGGACCCAAAGGACGATCCAGTTCTCGATAGAAGTGCAGCCACCCTCTTCCGTGCAGTGACCATGAGGACAGCGTACCAATCAATAGATCGACCAGAGTTGCTATATCCAGCCAAGGAGGCAGCAAGGGCGATGCAGAACCCGACGAGAAGCGCGCTGGAGAAGATCAAAAGGATCGCTCGCTATCTCGTGTCGGCGCCGCGGGTCGTGCAGGTGTTTCACCGTCAGCCGGAGCAAAGCAAGCTGATTCAGTACACTGACACGGACCATGCCGGGTGTAAGGTCACTCGCAGGTCAACTTCTGCAGGGACAACAATGCACGGCAGCCACATGTTGGCAGCGTATTCTACGACGCAGAAGCCGATAGCCACTTCTTCTGGAGAGTCGGAGTACTACGGCATGTTCAAGGCCGGGTCGCGCCTTGTGGGAATGGCCCTCATGGCCAAGGACTACGGCTTGACATACAAGGCCGAGCTCCGGGCAGATGCTTCTGCAGGCATCGGCATAGCATCGAGGCGTGGCATTGGCAAGATACGCCACCTGCACACGCAGGCACTGTGGCTACAGCAAGCAGTGGCCGATAAGCGCCTGAGCGTTGTGAAGACCAAGGGAGAGAGCAATCCAGCCAATCTTCCCACGAAGCACGTCGACGGGAAGACGATGTGGCAGCATCTGGCAGACCTCGGTTTCGAGCTCCGGAGTGGCCAGAGCAAGCTCGCCATTGAAGTGGCGAGGGATGCGTAACCTCCACGGCACAGTAGCCGGATGGCTTGGGTCAGCGGCTGCGGGGAGCACCGCGCCGGAAGGCGAAGCGGGTAGCTCCGCCCCCGTTGTGCTACGCGTAGTGCGGGTAGTTCCGCCTATGAGAGTGCGAAGGCAGGCCCATGTGAACCACCGTGCGGGGAGCCCCGCCGTGGAACCCACACTCTACTACCTGACAGGGCGCGGTCTCACCAAGCGAGGGCTTGGCGACGTCCGCGAGAAGGGGTGTTGAGGTGCATAACACACTTGATGTATCTTAGTGCACTGATGTAGGGCAGAGCAGAGTAGCATGTAGGTTAGAGCAGAGTAGCACAGCAGGGAGGTAGCATAGCGAGACATGTTGCACTCCGCAGCCATCTGGTCCTAACAGGAAAAATATTCGTCAAAATCTGGATCACCCGCGGCCACCACGCAAATTACCACTCTCCGTTGGTGTTTGACAAGGACGACGGGGGTGATGGCGTATTGCCTCCTGTGCGCAAGCCCGGCAGACACCATGATGGTCTGCCCGCCACGATTGTGCATTGGTGGATGGTTGGGGCAGACACGGATTTGCTGTCACGTGCGCGGGCGCACCTGGCACGCTCTGCGCGTGTCCTGGACGTGGCGCACCTGACGCGGCTGGACTATGCGGCACACATGGCGCACGTGGAGCACGTGGCGTATCTGGCGCGCCAGGCGTGCCTGGCACGCTCGGGCCTCAGGGGAGCCTGGCGCACCGGGAGCGCGTGGCACGCGTGGCTCAACTCGCCCCAGCGTCGCGCACATGGGGTCTGTGCTGGTTTCCAGTAGCTGTCCATCCATAGGCGACCGCTGAACATGCTGAGGCTGGGGGGGGACGTTGGGAGGGCGGGTGAAGTGACCCAGACAGCTTGCGGTCGGGGAGGGTGTCTTGATCCTTCCCTACCCCTTCCCCCTGGGACCTGGACGACGCGTTTCGCGAGTTGTCAGAAGGTCTTGTCTGGCCTCGGTGGGAAGGCCAAACTCATTGATGTACGAAGGTGGTGGCCACATGTTGGCCTCCCCGGGGGGGCGCGTAATTACTACGGCCAATTCAGGGATCTATCTCTTCCAAGATGGCCCCAAGATGGCCCCCGAGTCTCCCAAGGGTGCCCCAAGACTGCCCCAAGAGGTGCCCTCGAGGCCCCAAGATACCCCCAAGAGGCCCCAAAGATGCCTCCAAGAGGCCACCAAGGGGCCCCAAGATGCCCCCCAGAGGCACGCAGTACATCCCCAGAGACCCTCGGGACTGCCAAGAAACTTCCAAGACGCCCCAAGAGGACTCCAAGAGGTTCCCGAAAGACATCCGAAGAGACTCCGAGATCCCGAAGCAAGCCATGCACGTGAGCGAAAGAGGCTTGTGGCCGCGCGTGCGCTCTTCATTCGAAGCCACGTACATCGTCGTGGTCTTGGGCCCCGCGTGGGCCGTCTTGATGCTATGCTGGGCATCTTGGATCGACACTTGGGCGACATGGGGCTCTCTTGGCCATCCCCTGGGACTTCCCGGGGCCCAAGCGAGCCCCAAGAGGGCTCCAATAAGGAGGCGGTGTCTGTGTGTCAAGTTTGTCTAAAAGGTCGGGCCCTCTAGGAGGCCTGCCTCTCAGGGCACTCGGAGGGCTTCCGCAGGGTCCCAAGAGGGGCCCAAGATGGCTCCAAGAAGGCCCGAAAGCTGACTTAACTATGATACAAGACGCTCTTCAATAAGGAGGCGGTTTGTGCCAATTTGGGCGTAACATGTCGAGCCCTCTTGGAGACCTGTTAGGGCCCTCAGAGGTCTCCCACAGGGCCCCAAGAGGGCGCAGGAGGGCCCCAAGACGACTCCAAGAAAACCAAACATGTAACGCACATGTCACACAAGACGCTCTCCACAAAGGAGGCGGTTTGTGTTAAATGTGTGTTGAAGTGCGGGCCCTCTTGGAGGCCTCTCAGGACCCTCTGAGAAGTCCCGCAGGGTCCCAAGAACGCCCAGGAGGGCCCCACGAGGGCCCAAAGATGGCTCAAAGAGGGCCCGAAATGTGAAACAAACTTTACACAAGACAAGCACCCCGACAAGCCGAGCCGTCGGAGATCTGGGACGGCACACGCAGCAGCAACAATGCCAGGCACCAGGGGCAGCCTAGACAGCACCAGCAGCATCAACGCCCAAAGCAACAACACCACCTGTAAGAACAACGATGAGAGAGACAGCAACGGAAAGATCATTCCAAGATGAATCCAAAGTTGTTTTGAACACATCTTAGGAATACCCCTGTCGTCCCAAAACATTCACCCATGCTATGCGATGGCCCCAGTATGACCCCAGAGCAGCCCTGTGGCCCCAAGAAGACACCGAGCGACGAGCGATCTGTCTTCCGACTGCACTGAGGCTACCGCGTGAACCCGATTTGACTCCGAGGTGGCCCCGGGCCGACGCCATGAGCCCGAGACGACTTCGAGAATGCCCCAAGATCATCCCTTTAACCCTAGTTGACCCCAAGATTGTGTCAGCGTGGCTCCAATGTGACTTCCATGCGTTCCTCCTGTCTGTCCTGTCACTTGGCTTAGGCCGATAGGACGGATGGGGGTGCTGGCCCTCCGCCCCCTCGTCGTCGTCTTCTTCCTCGTCCCCCTCGTCCTCCTCGCCCTCGTCGTCGTCGTCGTCGTCGTCGTCGTCGTCGTCGTCGTCGTCGTCGCTGTCCGCCTGGCCCACTTGGCCCCATACATAGCAGAAAACCGAATCCCCGACACACGCCGAATCCGTAGTTTCTCTGATGAAACCAAAAGGTGCCGATACCGCTACTCCCCAGGCCTCTCCCGGGGTGCGTTCTGCCCACAGTTTGGAGGCGGATCCAGCGGCGGCGCCGAGGGCCTCCCGGGACGCCCAACAAGGGGGACACCAGGGAAGGGTAGCAGTACGGGCACCGTTTCCTTTCTGTTGCATCTTCGGGGGACCTCGCCTGTCCCAAAAATTAATGTCTTTTGGGGGGCCCGACGCGTGCTCGATGCGGACTCGACGCGGATTTGGCGTGGATTCGACGCGGATTCGACACGGATTCGACACGGATCCGACGCGTCCGACATGGATTCGACACGGATTCGACGCGGACAGGGCCGCGACGGGACAGACAAGGTCCCCCGAGGATGCAACATAACCTCCTCATCTGGTACAGTCAGCCCCCGCATCGCATGGATGCGCGATGAGGGAACAAGGGCCTCGGATGCCCCTTCCGGAGCTTCTCGGGCGGGAAGCGTGGCCAGCGAGGGGACCGAGGAGGCAAGGAGGCTCGGGTCGGGCGAAAGGGGGGGATAGCAAAGGGGGGGGTTGAGAATCAGCTCACGTAGCTGATTTTCCCGGCGCCTCCCGGCGCCGGAGGCGTCTATGTATCGAGAAATGGGCCCCTCGGTGAGGCCGAAAACAGCTGCATGCAGCAAATTTCGTAACCCCCCCTTTCCCAATCCCCCCCTTTCGCCCAGCCCGAGATGCGAGGGCACCCTTCGGGCAGGATGCCCAGCCTCATCGTGCGGGTCGACTGTGAAGCTGGCCTCGCCCTTGTGCCCGGAGCCCTGCTCTTGAGCAGGGACCGGCCGTCCTGGCATTCCTAGAGGCCTACCACGGAATCATGTTCTTGGAACCCAAACCTGCTCTTAGAACAGAAGCGCGGCTCTTAGAACAGACCCCCGCTGTGTGAAAACAAGACGACAACCTCGGCCAGACACGTGCTGAGAACATCTCGTGCCGACCACGAAAAAAAACCTCAGAGCAACCTTGCGTGGGGGCCTGTCGGCAAGCCGGGATGCTTCGCCACCGCTTGCAGCCCCGCTCCGACCTTCTGCCCCCTCCCTTCGGCGGCGGGCCGCGGCGGCCGCGGCGCGGCCGCTGCGCGGCCGACGCCGGCGGCGGCCCGCTGCGCCCGCGGGTCGTCCGGCAGCAGGGTCGCGCACACGCCGTCCATGGCCGCCGCGGGCCCGCCGCGCGGCCGGGCGCGCCGCGGGCCCGCCGAGGGAGCCACGCGGGCGGGAGGGGAAGGACTGCGGCGGCGGGGGCAGCGCGCGGTTGCTGCTCGCAGCCTCTCTGCTCGGGGGGGCGGCGCTGCGGGTACGGGGTCGGAGTCGGAACCGGGAGCGCAGCCGGTATCGATCATGAGCACCCCAGAGAGAAGCCCCCTCGCTGCCGCCTTGCCTGGTCGGCCTTGCTCGGGACTTTGGGGGGTCAACCTTGTCTGTATGCGATCTAGGCTTTCACGCCCCGTACGTGTGGGGGAAAAGAAACCAGGAGGGAGGAGAAGGAGGAGAAGCCCGCCGAAAAAGCGGCTGATCGAGGGGCCGCGCTCCGAACGCTGCCCGCTCCCTGAGATCTGGGCACTGCAACTTCCTTTTCGCAACGAGCGCATTCGCCTGGCTCTGCGGGCCCCAGGGACACCACAGATCGACGCGGCTCGAGGCATGCCGCAGAAAACTTGGGGTCCATACAGGGCTCCAATCGTGACTGTTCGCGACGGTATCACGCCAGGTGTTCTTTCGCCCGGCTCTGGGACCTAGGACCACCACAGATCGATGCGGCTCGAATGACGCCGCAGACAGATGTGGTCTGGGGCTCCGCGCGGGACTTCCCGCGACTCCGCAACTTGTTTTCTTATTTGTTACCGCAGAATCGGATCTCAGTGTCTGGGAGCTGCCCCGCGGCGGCGGAAGAGGAGGAAGAGAAGCAGGAGAAGGCCGAGAAGGTTGAGGAGGAGGAGAAGGAGGAGGAGGAGGATGAGGAGAAGGAGGAGGAAGAGGGATGGGTGGAGGGGGTGGAGGGGGGGAAGGGGAGGAGGAGGAAGAGGAGGAGGGGAAGAGGGAGGAGGAGGAGGGAGGAAGAGGAGGATGAGGAGGAGAGGAGGAGGAGGAGGAGGAGGAGGAGGGAGGAGGGGGGAGGGGAGGAAGAGGAGGAGGAGGAGGATGAGGAGGAGGAGAAGGAGCCCGTACGGATCGTGCACAGAGAGTTGTACCACCAGCGTCGC